CTGCCGCCGCCGTAGCGGCGGCTGCGGAGTTACCTTGCACTGTGAAGCTCAGAGTGTGGTCACATGACATCAAAGACCCATGTGCACAACTGAAGGCTGACAAATGCCGATTAACAATACCTCATGCTGTTCTTTGCAGGCAAATCTCTTTCTCTTTACTAAAAATGCTCCTTAATTCCTTTGATATCATTCTGTTACACCATAGATACGTCTGGTGTTAAACCATGCTTCACTTTTATTGTCTGAGATATATTGATTGATCTGCTTTGATGTGTTTACATTTGCAGTGAAATGGGAGCACATTTTTCGCCATGTGGGAGATATTTAGCTGTCTGTGTTGCATGTGTTCTTCCTCATGCTGAGACAGATCCTGGATTGCAGACGTTGGTCCAACAAGATTCAGGGCTTTCAACTTCGCCTACTCGGCACCCTGTCACGGCACACCATGTGGTGTATGAACTTCGTGTGTATTCTCTTGAAAAGGATACGTAAGTTCTGCTTCCCATATTTCGTTATCTTAGTTCTATTTGTGATTCAGTCTGACGGATAACAGAGAGTTCATTTGAGTATGCATAAAATCTCTACAGGTTTGGTTCAGTACTTGTCTCACGGCCAATTAGAGCTGCACATTGCTTGACTTCTATCCAGGTGAGTTCCTTTTGGTACATAATTGGAAACTGTGTTTGTTTAGACATAAGCTTCTGTGTCCCTCGGTTATCAAAGACAAATGTTGATGGCTTATAAAGTGGTCTTCATATTTTGATCTCAATTGCTGATGGCTATTTGTTCGCGAACAATGGCATTCTCCTATTCATTTAGGCTGATAAATAATTGCGTCGCTTCAACTGCAAATTTAGCCAATAACCACTTTGGAAAATCTTCATTTGTCTCTGGCAAAAAATAGCTTTAATAAGCTCAGTGTGGTCATGTTGTGTAGCTTTTGAAATGGCCTACCAGTCATATTTCCAATTATGATGTCAGATTTAATTTGAATATGTCACCTGCTAATCCTGACACTCATATACTAGATAAATAATAAGTTCCCTGCTTCTCTGTAATTAACCAGATAAAATACTGAAATCTGGAACGTCACCACCCAAAGTGGTTCTCCGATTTCCGTAATGACAAAGTAACATTTGTTATCTCTATTGTCGTGGAAAAATTCATGATCAAGGTTTTGTGTGCAGTTCTCACCTACCTCCGAGCACATATTGCTTGCTTATGGCCGGCGTCATGGTTCCCTTTTGAAGAGCATTGTTAGTGATGGAGAGACGACATCTCATTTTTTCACGGTGTTGGAAGTAAGTCTATAATCCATTTGCAAGTCAACGAATGTTTTTGTAGATATCGTGATATCTACATTTAAATACCAACTTCTGACATAACTATTCATTTTTTTTTTAAATTATTTTGCCTATCAGATTTACAGAGTTTCAGATATGGAACTGGTGAGAGTACTCCCGAGCGCTGAGGATGAAGTTAATGTCGCTTGTTTTCATCCTTCTCCTGGTGGAGGTCTTGTTTATGGAACAAAGGTAATCTTAATGAGAGGACTGGTAAAAAAAAGAGACCATGTCTCTCAACTATAGATAACCTGAAAGCTCTTCTCTATGGGTAGAATCACAGTCATCTTTCTCCTTAAATTTTCCTAATGTATCGACGTGAAACGCAGGAGGGGAAACTCAGGATTTTCCGGTATAACACTGCTGCCGCCTCCAACCTCACCGGACCAAACAACCACCCCGAGGAAAACCTATCCCAGGTAGAATTATAGACAAAAGGTTTGATCGTCTTGAAAATAATTAAAAGGGCAGTAGATCAAAGGCTAGAATCTGAAACTTTTAATTCGGGTCAGTCCAACTGGTGCAAACTCTTGTGTTCATTTCGCGCAAGCGGCATTTTTGTGTCGTTGTTTGCAGCGACATTTGCAGAATGCAGAGTATCGTTTTTTACGGGGTTTTTTTTGTTTGTTTCGCCTTTTGAGCAAGTAAGTATTGTAATGATTTTGATCTCTCTTTAAAAAAAGAAAATTCTAAACCGCAGGTGCAGACGTACGCATTAGAGTGCTAGCAAGAAAACCACAAAGGCTCTCTCTCCCGACAGAACACATTGAAGAACAGCCTCTTCCCATACAGTCTGGGTTTTTTTTTCTTCGGGTAAAAACACTGCCTTTGGTGAATCGCCTGAGACCTCTTCAATTCTATTTTATTGGTTCTTTCTTTTTATCTTTGCTGTTTGGTTGGGGTTTCATATTTTGCCTTTGCAGCAGGCTTCTCTGTTTGTCTTTTGTCCCTTCATTTCTTTGCCAAAGACGCAGAAGATGTGAAAATAAAAATAAAAAAGAAAGAAAAAAAATTAGAGAGAACATTTTTTTTTTTGGTAGTTTGTAACGCTCTTTGATCAGACAGATTTCAGGTGGTGCATACGTACGGGCCATTAAAATGTCATTTTCACAAAATTCGTGCAAGATATAATATGTAGACTGGGATGTTGAAATGATATTATATTATGTCATTAACACTACAGTATGTATTATAAATCCTAGAGTAAAGATTTATTAAAGATGATAGGGAAATTGTCAACGTTCCAAAACCGGATATTTTTTTCATCGTTATTCGGGTTCTGAGTTCTGATCCGGTTCATCGGATCCCGGGTTCAAGCCGGGTCACGCTTGCTGACGTGTAGCCACAAAAAGCTCACTCTTATTTCCCCTCCTCCTCTCTGTCTCTCTCGTGCCAATGTCGACTCAAGGTCAAGTCATCACCTGCAAAGATAATTTCCCTCTCTCTCTCTCTCTCTCTCTCTCTCTCTCTCTCTCTCTCTCTCTCCACGTAGGGAAACATACGTGTCTGTAGGGTTTTCTGAATGCGTAATGATGGTGATAGAGGAGGTGCAGGTGGCTCCACCGCAAGCCGGAGAGGTCAGGATCCAAATCCTTTACACCGCTTTCTGCCACACTGACGCCTACACCTGGAGCGGCAAGCTTTTTCTGACTCTACATTTCCTCTTTACTCTTTTTCTTGTATATATATATATATGTGTACGTACGTACGGATCGATTCATTGTCTGTTTTTCCGTGTTGGAGACCGGACATAACCATTATTACTTCCACAATGAACCTATATTTAGACAAGAACGCGTTGACTTCTCGAAGTCTTGTGGATGCTTCGAAGATGACGTGATTTTGATTAAACGATAAAACACTAATTTTATGTTTATGTATCAATTACGTACGTATGTACATGCAATGCGCTGTCATGATATGCCGGAATCTTTTGTCTCACCACCTCTCATCTCCGAACCAATTGTTCTTCTCCTTGGGCCCCGAGGGACCTTCCTCGCCGGAAAGTTCCACCGGAATCTTCCCAACCACGGCGGCCACCGAACTTCTCAGCCGCCACGGAAGCCGATCCACCATCCTCTCCATCTCCGCTCTCGTGTCGTACACCACCTTCGGCCCCCACTCCCTCATGTACTTCAGCCATGGCGGCTCCCTCACCGCACCGCCCAGATACTCCGCCGAGACAACCTCGTACCTCGAGCTCGAGTCCACGAACAGGTCGCTTCTCTCGGCGTCGTTCCTGATTCCGACGCCGAGCTTGGACGATCCCTGAAGGTACGTTCCCGGACGAGGAAAGCTCGCATGACCGTACCTGGAAGAGTAAACAACCGTCTTGTTGGTGCCGGAGATGTACTCGAGGTCATAAGCCTCGACCCATTCCCCGCCGCTGTGTTGGGAGAAGTAGACGGAGGAGAGTTCGCCGGAAAAGTTGCTGATGCGGAGAGTGAAGTGTTCCCAGTCACCGACATGTTGTCCGATTTTGGAGAAGGAGACATTGACAAGTCCTAGTTTAAGAGTTGCCGGTCCGTTGAACGGGCAGAAGATCCAGAACGCCATGTCCGTGAACGTTCCTCCAAGCGCTGGCTTTACATGAACGTAAAGTTTCGAGCTTTCCAGGTTTCCGCGTTTGAGGAAGCTTCTCTGTTCTTCATCCGAGGGAATATCGATCCAGAACTGTTTGTCGTTTGTTCCGCCCTGAGGCAAGTTGGATCCTTTTTCGTCGATGGCTTCTCGGATCGGGTAAGCGTTCGAGCCTGACTCTTCTGCCTTTCTGCATAACAATGCTCCATTCTTGAAGAACCACGAAACAGAAGATGGCAAGTAGATTTCCCCGGGATGGAAGAACACAGTTGGGCCATAGTGCCGAATCAGGGCATGGATCTGATCGATGTTCGGCATTGCGTGTAAACTCGAATCGAGATTTCTCAGGCAAGCAATCGCGAGATCTTCCCCAGACGCCAATGGAGGTCTGCAGAAGAATGTACCTGCAGATACTCCTTTGCCCCACATTCCGCGGTCTGAAGGTCTCGTTCTCCATATAAACAACGGAACGCCAGAAGATTTTGATACAGCAGTGACAATAATCTTGTGAGCTTCACATTCATCAGTAAGATCAGCTCGAACACATCTAACTTCTTGCAACTCGGGTTTTGCGGATCGGTTAGTAACCACAAAGCCAATCGGTCTATACCCTTCCGGAGGCTGAGGTAACCAGAAGTAACCGCATTCGCCGCTATGTTCCTCGGCTAAGCCATTTGAACTCCAAACTAGTTTATAATCAATCGGCTCTGCAAGTGCAGGTGGCGGCTTCGAGCTCGAAGCTTCTTGACCCGATGAATCTACCTCTCTTGCAGCCAATACGAAATTTCTCAAGGGCTGAGAATCATATTGGCAGTAGTGACCTAAGCAGTGAAAGCCTTCGGGTACTCCAACCGGTCTGTAGAACGAAACGCTTTTGTCCTGCGAGGCCCTGTATCGCCATACCAATTTGAAGTTCGAGATTTTGGTGACTTCTAGCTCGCCCAGTCTTATTCTCCCAGCGGCAAAGCCTTGACCTGATCAATTTCAAAACCATGTACGAGTATCAACTCACTGTAAGGAACTGCAGGGAATTCGATCCATCCAACTATATCGAGACAACAAAAAGAAACCAGACAGATTTTGTAGTAAGAAGCTCAGAGAAACACGGTTACAGGTGCTTAAACACATCACTTAGAGCAAACCATAGTAGAAATATGGGAATTCTGGTGAAGCATCTTAAGATTTTGTGAAAATAATATTCGGTTTCTCTACCGATTACAAACGGTTCACGTGTTGAATTGTAATAAGTGCCAATGCACAAAGAATTAGAGTTTGATATAGAAATATGGAAGAAGAAAGGAAAAAAACCACGCCAAATCAGAAGAATCCTCGTTTAAGATCAAAATTCTACAGCCTGAACAAGTCTTGAGGAGTTTCGCAGAATCCAGAATCGACATCATCGAGAAATATGAAAGAATTACGGAGAAAAGCACGGATTCCGGATTACCTGGAGGCCACTGGGGCATCGGAGCTGGGAGAGAGAAGGTTTCAGGGTCCGTTAATGGTGGCAATTCGCTGAGATTTCTCCAGTACAGGCATTGGCAACCCAACATTCCTCTCTCTCTCTCTCTCGACCCGTTGATTGTTGAAGATGATCCAATGCCGTAATCGTGGGAAACCCTAATAAATGAAGACGATGACAATCGCAGAGATAAAAAGGGAAGGAAAAAAAATCAAAGCTTTATAAGGGTCCCATCCCATCCCATCCCATCCCATTCTCGAATTGTCGAAAATGGTTTCTGATACCCACACCACAAAACAAGTTCAAGTATCTCTTTATATTTTCTTTCATTAAAAAAACGTGAAAAATGAAATTAAAAAAAAAAACAAAAACAAAACATTACATGCTATTATACAAAGATCCAGGAGGTGATCTTCCTTGTGGAAGAAGCAACCGCCTTTTGGGGGGTGGGGTTAAAAGTGACGTAACTGAAATGAAACCACGTCCTGTCGGAATCTTCTCTGTAAACTCCTCTGCAATCTCAGAGTACTAGATTGGGTGTTCCATTAAATGCAGATCCAAAGATTCTGACGCTAAAGAGTTTTTCCTTGAGACAGAACTGTTGTAGTTCCCAGAAGTTCGGAACAAGGATTTATCAGAAGGGAACCAAGAACCAATGGAAATCTAATTCAAACCAAACCAAGTACTTAGCACATCAACATAATATCTTACTTTCCACTTGAACTGGAACAACAAAAACCAATCTCAAGGGGAAAGGGGAAAGAGTTTAACCCTAAATCTAAAGCCCCATACGTATATATAAAAAAAACCAAAATCTTCCTCTGGTTGTGGCGGAAGAGGAAAACAGGCTCTCGGGGAAATCAGCACAAGCTTCTTCTGGATCATATTCTTGGTCGTTAGACATAAAAGCTTAAAGAGATTGAAATTCCGGTGAGCTGGAGTTATCTTGGTCACCTCTTCAGAGACTTTAGAGTTTAACCCTAAATCTAAAGCCCCATACGTATATATAAAAAAAACCAAAATCTTCCTCTGGTTGTGGCGGAAGAGGAAAACAGGCTCTCGGGGAAATCAGCACAAGCTTCTTCTGGATCATATTCTTGGTCGTTAGACATAAAAGCTTAAAGAGATTGAAATTCCGGTGAGCTGGAGTTATCTTGGTCACCTCTTCAGAGACTTTTTTTACCGGGAACCACGGTAATAACTGTTACCTCTCGGCCTGTAGTCACCACTGTCCTGATGGATTCCTCTGCCTGAAGCACGGGTTCCAAACCGGCCTCTTGGAGCCTCGGTTGGATAACCAACCCTTCCTCGTCCTCTTCCTGGCCAATGGCAAACACACAAACGTGAGTTTAGCTATCAGCCAAACCGATTGACGATTCGTGTTCATTACTCGGTTGGATAACCGATCGTTCTACTTTTAGATAGATACATAGTTCACAAGTAGGGTTTAGCTAAAGAACATACTTCCTCCACGAACACCACTCGGGTTGGGTCTGCGTTCCTCAATGTATACTTGCCTTCCAGCAAATAATATGGGTGAGGCCTATTAACATGAGAAAACCAAGTCAATGGAATGGACCAAATCGCAAAAATCAGAGAAAAACAGACACAACGGCATAAACAGAAGCCATACAAACATGTCCGGAGATGCATTAGCTTTTAGTGAAAATCATTTAGCGTAGCGAGGAAAAGCAAGCCGTAAAGGTTTCATACCTTGATAGCATTCTCAACAGCAAACATCTCCTCAAACTCGACAAAAGCATAGCAAACACCGATAACGTCCTGAAGGATTAGATTTGTTCAGTTGGTTTCTCATATTACTTGTGCAAAACAGTAAATGGCCATCAAGGAGTAAGAATCATACCTTGCGGTCACGGATGAAAACACCATCAGGCTTGATTGCACCAAAGTTCTTAAATTCTTCCTCGATCTCGGCAGCAGTTATGTTGGAAGGTAAGTTTCTGACATACACAGATTTGAATTCAACTGGAACAAAGCAGACAGAAAATCAATATGTGAATTCAGAATGCAGCCACTCTTAGTCAACAGTGTGACAAAGCATAATTAACTTCCTAATCATGTATAGAGAACTTTTGGTATCAATGATGAAGTTCAAATAACTTACAGTCTTCGAATCCCGAGCTATCTTCGGCCTCAGCTCCATAGTCAGGCACATACGGGAAAGAAGTGTTTGATTGCTGACCACCAGGATGAGGCACAATTGTCTGTTGTGTAACCTGGGAGGCCAGCGGCTGAGATGATTGCTCCCACTCATTTGTAGATTGGAAGCTCTGGTTATAGGATGGTTGTGTAGGAACTGCCGGCACTGCAGCTGCCTCCCTTGCAACTCGTAACTGGCAAAAAAGGAAATGAGCATATCTCCGGTATACTAATTTTTAAAATTTAAGCGCCAGACAGTCATATAAAAAATGATTCTATGGCTCTAAGTACAAAGAGTTTTACTCCTGTCACTCACCCACCCACCATTAGCTTCTAACCAAAAAGAGAGAGGCTAGAAATTTCAAATCTAAGAAAGCATCATCACACCGATTAAATGGATACTTCATTCAACAGGAATTCAAAAACAAACAAGGGAAACTGAATTTGCAGGGATACGTTTCGTGTCTCCAGGTTCATTCTTTAAGTCATTGCTAGAGAGACTACACACACAAGAGAGATCAGCAGTAGAATGGGTGCTTACAATGGATGCATAAGTCATCTTTGATTTTTCACCAACGGGTTCCTCTGCTGGTGCTGCTGAAGGTTCATGCACAGTCTCATCCGCACCTAAATGTGAAGCATATACGTCCTCCACAGGAGTTTCCTCAACCACGACTTCATTATCGAAATATTCTTGGTGAGGTTGATGAGGCTCCTCTGGAAGACTGTATTTGTCAATCGGATCATCTTCTATACGGACCGAGTTCACATAGTCCCTTGCCTCTTGCTCCAAGACATAGTCAGGAACTGGAGAAACAAGTTATGGCAATGTAAATAGGCAGCAAAATACAGTTAATCCAGAAAGACAGACATCATAAAAGCTTAACAACCAAATGAACAGAGCAAATATCTAAGATGGTGGTCAAAGGCTTTGACACTTTTTCCTTTTCCAACAAATCATTCCTTTAGTTTAGATTGAACGGATACATGAAAGTTGCTCCACCCTGGGCTAAGTGATCGCAACAAAATGAGCTATACATAATATGCCTTTTACAGTCTTACAAACAAACCTTCAGATTCTGAGATTGCATTTGGAGGATTCAGCTGAGCCTCTTGCTTGCTTTCAGATAAATGAGGATGCTGTTGATGAAAGACTGTTCCATCATCTACGAACTGAAAGATATCATTCAGAACAAAATAACCCTTTTCTTGAGGAGCGAGGAAAAATGTCTGCACAAAATTTCTTCTATTGCTGAATTCCTTGGTCTTCACAGAACCAGAAACCATCACCAAAACACCTCCATCCCAAGATTCCAGTGAATTGATGGTTTTGATTTCAATCGCAGTAAAATTTAGTGACATGACCATGTTGTGAATATGCTGGTGACAAGATGGAAAAGAAGAAGAAATGTTAATGACCCAGACTTATCTAATAACTCATGAGAGCAACAAAATTCACTCGAACAAAAGCTTTGTACCCTATTTCAAAACAGGAGAACAAGTTCACCAGAAATAACTTCATCAACCAACTTAAGTCACCCACAGAACTCCAGCACATCAACAAAGATTTTGACTTTTTCTTGACGAGAAGAGAAACTAAAAGCCTCTGCTTATTCGGGTAAAAACCTCGGAACCAGAAATTTTCAAAATCCTCAAAAGGGCAGAAAAAAGTTGGATCGAGAAGATTGTATTCGCTGTTCTTCTAACTTAACCAAGAAACATATTCAATGTATCAAAAGCAGGAAAAAAGAATTCGACATCAATGACTTCAATGACCCACTTTCACTTGAGTCACATACATCAAGGCCCCTGATTTACCTCAAAAGAAAACTGAATCCAGTGATTTAAATTCATAGAAAATTTTGACAAATGATATTTCATAAAACAAAATCCATTTCATATATTGAGATCTCCATCCTTCCAAAAAAATAAAAATCAAATCTACAGAAATCAGAAGGAAAAAAATTATGAAGTCCGAAGAAGGAATGGAAGCGTTACCAGCATCGTAAGGGCGGTCTCGGAGGAGTCCCCATCGACACGAACAGCTTTACTAGCGTCAGAGTAAAACTGGTGAACAAGGTCTGGCTGCTGCTGTAACACTTGATAGTACTGTCCCACGAAGTACGAGCCCACCTGAACAGAGAACATTGACCAACAAAAAGTTAGAACTTGTGCAAATCAATGGACCGAAAAACACCCAGTGACCTACCTGAATGGCTCCGGGGTAAGGAGTCGACATTACTGATCCAAGCTCAATACAGGGGCACGAACAAGGGAGGATCGGGTGAAAAACCCTAGAGAAAACACTCTTCGTATCAGGATCCGGGGAAGATCGAGAAGAACAAACACCGAAACAGAAACAAAAACAAAAAAAATCTAAGAAGAAAGAGGTCGAAGGTGGGTGAGATTTAAGTAGGGTTTTCGCTCGCTCTTCTGAGAGAATGAAATTTAGATCTACAAGGGGGCAGGAGCGAGTGAGGGGTTTTGTTGACGATAGGGTAAGGACTGAGGAGGCGAATTCTTCCTGATTTCAACCCACATTTTCAAATGTTCATACATTTCTCCCCAACTTTCTTAGAAGTGCTCATTCAACCCTTTTTTTCTTCCAATGGAGGAATAAATAAATACATGCGATATACATATATGTAACACACTCCGGTCCCCCAAAGATGTATCGCAATAAATGTTTTTTTTTTTTTAACATAAGATGAACAATCTATTTCAGAATGTATAGTCATTATTGCCCAATCTTAGCATTCCTTCTTTTCATATTCGTTTCCCCTTTTGCTTCGGATAAATTTAAACCAAAAACAAAAACAATCCAATTTTATAATTTGCTTATAATAATTAAAATAGAAGATCTCTGGTACAACCTCGATATTAAACCCTTTCAGGATCAAATCAAACAATGCAAAAAAAAAACTCTTTAAACTAAACTAATATCACGAGTCACTGATACACAGAACAGAGAGACAGACATAGAAATGTGACACATTCAGACAAGAAACAAAGAAGAAGCTAAAGCCTCAGGGGGGAAAGATTTAGGCATATCGGTAAACGGATTGTGACCGGAATTGTCACGGACTGGCTCAGTAGTAAGTAGTAGCACCATAGTAAGCCTGAGGAGCGGAAGCCGGTTGTTGAACCGGCGCCACCAGTGCCGCGGCTACGGTTGGAGGTGCGTAACTTTGTGGCGGGTACGTCTGAAAAAAGTTGCACAAAGAAAAAGAAAAGATTTTGTAAATACCGAAATGCATCCCGTTCATCAAAGACAAGACATGAATGGGATCTATGAGTATGATCAATTAGCTTATGAGTATGATCAATGGGATCTATGGGTTCACAAAGATTGCATGCTATAAAATGTATTGACGGAGTAAAATGATCACTACCCATTATCAATAAATGATGCTTTTGTATGAACAGAGACAACTCAGGAAACAATAGAACGATCTATTACTGATGAAAATAGGAACAAGATTGTTATCTTTTCTAGACTGGCCCAACCGTGATTTGATAGTGAAATGTGAATATTAGCAAGTGAAGGAAAGCTTTGAACCTGAGCAGGATATGTTGAAAGAAAGCGGGAGGAGCGGAAGCCGGTTGTTGACCCGGCCCCACCAGTGCCGCGGCTACGGTTGGAGGTGCGTAACTTTGTGGCGGGTACGTCTGAAAAAAGTTGCACAAAGAAAAAGAAAAGATTTTGTAAATACCGAAATGCATCCCGTTCATCAAAGACAAGACATGAATGGGATCTATGAGTATGATCAATTAGCTTATGAGTATGATCAATGGGATCTATGGGTTCACAAAGATTGCATGCTATAAAATGTATTGACGGAGTAAAATGATCACTACCCATTATCAATAAATGATGCTTTTGTATGAACAGAGACAACTCAGGAAACAATAGAACGATCTATTACTGATGAAAATAGGAACAAGATTGTTATCTTTTCTAGACTGGCCCAACCGTGATTTGATAGTGAAATGTGAATATTAGCAAGTGAAGGAAAGCTTTGAACCTGAGCAGGATATGTTGAAGGATATGCGCCATAAGCAGCAGCTTGTGGCACCGAAGTTGGTGCCTGTGGAGCAGCATGACCGGCAGGATAACCACCATACGCACCATATGTAGCCTATAAGTGCACAAATTTCAGTATATTAACCAAAATTAAAGTTCAAAATGGGAAAGGATTATTAACTTATGATGAACGTACAAAGATATGAATCAATCATAACCAAATTACCTGTTGGCCATAGGCCGGGTTCCATGGCTGCGGTTGTACAGGGGCTTGTGCCGGTGGCCAAGTCTGAGGCTGTGCAGCATAGCTACCGGCCCACTGATTCTGGGCATTCGAATAAGCACCAGGTATTGACTGAGCAGGCGGAGTGCCACCATAAATTCTTGCCATTTTTGTCCTATCTGAAGAGAGAAAATCTTCGGCATTACGCTTTTTCAGCTCTGATGTGCTCCTGTGGTGTAAAAAGAGTTTTGCATGCTGGTCTTCAGCCTTCTTTAGGGACTTCACATCTCCAAATAGGCCCAAAAACTGTAAAAATCATGCACCAAGATGTTTCAAACCAAGCATAAAAATATAAAATGTGAGAAGCCTAGAGCTGACAAGAATGAGAAAAGGATTGGTTTTCTCTGTTACTGTGACTTACCTCTATATAAATAGAAGATAACTCTTCCTTTTCAGCAGAACTAGCAGTATTCTGAGTATCAGTATTTGGCATTATGAACTTCTCGACAAGTGGCTGTAAGTAATCAATTTGCCTTGGTGGCGGCTGAATCGTCTCAAAATGAATCAGAGCCTATAAAGAATCAAGAAAGAAGAACGAAAGCAGAATCAATGCAGTTGAAGAGAAGGAAAGAAGAAGAAGAAGAAGAAGAAGAAGAAGAAGAAGAAGTGAAAGGGAAGCAAAATCAACATGGTTGGATCGGGTTTACAAACCTCCAGGAGTGGTTTTGATGGTTGTACGTGGTCAAGTGCTTCAACTAGAATCTTCCTGGCTTTCTCAGCATCTCCAGAAACCTGAATAATTAAAACCAATAAGAAGCCAAATCTTCCCAAGACTCCTTAATGAGAAAATTACACAATGTAAATGTTTCAGGACTAGGCAGCTAAAAGTTTCAGAAGCTCATGTGACTTACCAAGTAGGTAAACCTCGAGTATTGAGCGTACTGCATCGGCAGTATAGGAGAGTGTTCCTTCCCTTTTTCAATAGCAATTGCTTGTTCATACAAAGAGAAAGCATCATCCAAATTCCCCTACAGATTTGATGAAAGTCCAAGTTAAAGAACGACCACAGGTATGACAGTCTAATTCTTCAATAGCATGCTCATAGAAGCTTACTAGACGACGCTCCATGTTTGCATGTCTAATTATTGCTTCAAGGAGTCCAGGTGAAATTTCAGAGTGCACAAGTTGATAAGCAGCTCTAGCACCAGCAATGTCTTCATTCTGCTCTTTAAATCGAGCAGCAAAAAGATGAATCTCCGGTTGTCTCTGTCACATAACAGGAACCAGATGAAGAAACAAAATGAGAAAACTACTATAGGTGATCAAACGGTAGGCAGTGGCAGTACAATCTTCAAACTCTGGCATGAGGCAAAAAGCCTAGGATACACATCTTATCATCAGTGAAACACTCCTCGAGTCATAGCTATTGAAATTTGGAGTCTTGAAGATTACCGCACATAAAATAAAAATAAAACTGTGAATGTAAGTTGAAGACCTCGATTCCCGGAATTTATACTAAAGTTTGACAAAAACAACCCGCAAGTAAAATAAGAGCATAAAAGATGTCTCTAACTACAACCATCTCCACTACAGTTGGAAAACGAACCACTAAAATTGTTTAATCTGATCCCAGAAAAGTAGAATCTGCTATCTCAACAATTATTTTTCAAAGTGCATCACCATTATTAAAAAAATGGAAACAAAAGCACCAGATAATTCAATGAAACATCCATACCTTGACGAAGACTTGAGTTGCTCGAGCAAGAGCATTTTCTGCAAGATCTATACTTCCACTGGCTTCCATGCTTAATACATATCGAATCCAATATTCAGGATAATTTGCACACGCAATCACACATCTTTCATACAGTTTGACCACCTATTGAAAAAAAAGAATGTAAAAAACATAACATGATCATTGGGGCAAAAAGAAATGACATGTAAACAATACAAAGTACAAAGGAGAAAACCACAAGAAATACTCCATTAACATAGGGTCCCCTCAAGTACAAAGGAGGGACCCTCCTTGCCTGAGACACAGATTGTTAGGAAGACAAGAAGATACCTGCATTAATAACATTGGAACTTCAACAAGTGCGAATATCTAATGAATCTAAAATGCCCATTGACAAATCAGAGTTTGAAGTACTTAGCCTTAAAGTTACCAAATGGAGGGCCATGCTTTGGTCTCAGTTCAATTTCCCATTTAAAAGTTGCTCGATCCAACGTTTACCCAATAAAGCATATGTGGCACCAGTTACTACTTGACTGTAAGTCAATAATATTACAGAGGTACGACTCAAACTACGAACGACAAATACATCCACATATAGAGAGTCAAATACCTGGTTACCTTATTTAAATCACCATCCCTTTCTGTGAAATCCAGATAGTTATGCCAATTCTCCAGTTCCGCCACATTGAGGGGACGGGCATGGAAATAGGGTCTCCTTATAGCCATTTCAAAGCCAATGATTTTAGATTCGAACTCTTTGGCTTTCTTATACATCTCTTCTCTTATGGTGACATACTTCTTCAACTCCTCGACATCAGTTGAGCCAGAACTTGCTGGTTTAGGAGATTCTTCAGTGGAAACATCAGCTTGAAATTGTCCTTCATCTGCCTTTCCAATAGACTCAGATTGCGCACTTTCAGTAGTATCACCACCAGCTGAGGCAGTAGAACCTGTACCAGTAACGGCTTCCTCAGCGCTCTTTAACTCTGACAAAGGCCGTGTTTCAGCTAATTCCTTAAAGCTGCAGCACAGATAAGGGAAAGACAAGAGACAAAGAAACAAGTAACGAGCGCATCAAAACAGGGCTGTGAACATATCTCTGAAATTGATTGATAAAGTCTCTGAAAGAGATTCCGTGATCATCTTGCTCCGCCAATACATTTTATAGGTTAATTGATTTTATTCAAGTTACTTGATGCAGAAACTGTTGATAAAATCGCATGAAACTACCTGTTGAAATATCTATCAAGATTTTGAATTGGATTCTCCAATATTCTGGTATATATCATGGCAAGCCGGCCCCAGTCCTGCTGCATGTACTCGTACTCGATGTATTTGTCCCATAAGGGAGAGGACAGATAATCAGTTCCAACATAAGCCAATCCTCGTTCGAAAAGTCTGCAACAGTATTAGAAAAGACGGCATATCATAAGATATATGATGAACATCAAGAACGCATATGCGCCCAATCAATAAAGACAAATGCCAACTCTATGGAGAAAAAGAATTCATTCTTTGGATGGATGATACTACCAAACACTGGATTTACCTTCCTGATTAAACCATACCATGGCCAAAATCGAGCAGTGAGAGGCTATCTTAGCCCAAAACTGGTTGAAATCTTCCCAGCAGCATTTTGCATATGGATGCACTTCGAGAGTGAAATTAAAACAGGCGTAGTTTATAAATAATTATATAAATTCAAAATTTTCAAACAGAGGGAAGCATGAGGCAGACCCAAAAATGGAGCAATTTCAGAAATGATATCAAACAGCTATGCAAGTAGGCTTGACGGCTAGGATTTTTGCACATCAAGAAAGAAGCATAACTAAGTTCATTCCATCAGATCTTTCCGCCACAAAAGAGAGGACTTGCTGTATGCATGCTGAAAAGAGGGTTAGATGGTAACTATAAATCATTTTATCTAGGTAAGTATGAAGTCAACCATGATTTTGTCATGCACACAAATTATAAGGGCTAATGGACACTATTACCTTCTGATGGTGTCTGGGTCTCCATATGTATTGATGGCAAAAATGCAATAATGCAGCCAAATGTCCACTGAATATGTCACTCCCTGAACTGCTCTTTCATAAACCTCCACAACTTTGTCCATTGCCCCCACTCGAGCCTCGTTATCAGCATACTTTTTCCAGTAGCCATAACACAGAGGAAATTCAGCTAGGAACGCATCATAGATTTTTCGGATTTTTGTTATATTGTCCTGTATGTATGCAGAGTGGAAAAAACATCAACTATTTAGAGCAAGATAAGTTTAAAACGAGACTTATAACTTTAGCGAGAGACATAGAGATATGAAAGCGGCTTATACTGCACAAACAGATTTTAGCACCGATACTTCCATGGCATCCCTATAAATTCAGATAACAAAAGGCACAAACATACGTTCTAAATGCAAAATTGTTGGAATAACTTCTCAGAAGTTTAGAAGGAGAAATCTGTATCCATAGGCAAACTGTTGCATTGATAAGGAAATCAATACACACCTGAGCTACCTTCTCTGTCTCTTCAATAAGGGCAGTCCAAGCATTGAACTCAGCGGAATTCGCCCTGACAATATTCCATAGACGTTCCTCTTCCGGTGAAAGAGTTGGTCCTGTAATACGGAGGCATAGGCAAAAAATTTTAATGCTGAAAAATGATTGAGTTCCAGTAACTGTGAGCCCTTCAAACATGCTAAAATATTAATGGTGATTCTATCGTGCCCCCAAGTAGGATTCTAGTCCTGTAAATGCGTTTTAACAAGAAGAAAAAAAATACCAGAAGCATCTCCATGCTCAGACACCGGAACAGTTGCAACTTCATTGTCCGTCGCATTTCCATTCTCAACTGGCATAGCGGTGCCACCTTCAACAACAGACCCATTAACCAAAGAGTTGTTATCTGCAGATTGAGATGAACCAATGTTTGCTGCATTGCTCTCATGTACAGAATTGGCGCTCTCTTGCTCGGTAGATTCCACTGGTGGAGCTGAAGCACTATAATTTCCATATGGAGAAGAGTTATACCCAGCAGAAGTATAATTTACAGCACCAGATGCCTCGGCGGCCATGGTTTCGTTGTCCCCCATAACTTCGGAAAAGAGTCGTCTATCCGTAAAATATAAATTGCGGCAAGACGAAGTTCTGATAAGAATAGCAAAAAATTAACAATTAAGACACCCATAACATACAGACGGAAGCCATATATATTAGACAGAAGAAAATTACAATAATTCAATTTTTACGAGCCATCAAATTTTTTATAAGAATGGCGACAACCCTTCCCATAAGCATACCAATTATCCCAACATGTTAAGCTTCAAACAGACAACACCGCGATAAAAAACACGAAGCAAACATAAATATTGCTCCCTAAAAAACAAAATTCGAGGAAACCCGCATACGGAATCTGCTAATTGGGATATGCAAAACACTAATCATGACAGAGCCTAAAGAAAGCACACATGTAAAACACGCCAATTATCCCGAACCCCTCAAAAACCCAGCCAAAAAGAGCTACGGAAAATAGCCCTAGTTCAAAACCGTTGGAAATGTGATCAAAGTGGGAGAAAACCGTACCAATTAGATTAAGCTCAATCATCGAAGATAGAAAGAAAGGAGACAAACCTCAGAAAAACAGGGCTTCTGGAAGTTCTCGCACGAACTGCTCTTCGCCTTAGGGTTTGGTTTTGCTCAGTCACAGGAAGAGAGCCGTAGGGTTAGTCGTAAGGCGGTGTACGGTGGACCTGAAGGCCGAATGAGATTTAATCTGGACCGTTGAAAAAAAACAAAATATGGACCGTTGGATTTAAACCATTGGGCTTTAATCGGCCCATTAGGCTAACAAAATGGAACAAAAACCCTTTCCGGCTTTCAGATAAAACCCTCGTTTTATGCGAAGCGATTCACTCTCTCAAATCAGAATCAATGGCGTCGAAGAAGATCGGAGGCAAATCCGGCGGCGGAGATTCAAGCATCCTGGCTAAGATCGTGAACTCCGATATCGTATCTCAGGGAAGAAGCGTTGCGTGCGACGCCGTGTACGTGTCGAAGAAGCTTCTCAAGAGCACCGGCAAAGCGGCGTGGATCGCCGGAACAACTTTTCTGATCCTGATCGTGCCGTTGATCATCGAGATGGATCGAGAGCAGCAGTTCAGTGAGTTGGAGCTTCAGCAGGCGAGCCTCCTCGGAGCTCCTCCGTCGGCCGGCGCGCAAAAGTAACACTGTTGAATCCCACCGTCGATCTTAATTAGATTTTAAATCAGTGAATTTTCTGTATGTGTTTTTTTTTTGTTTTGTTCCAATCGTACTACTGCCTGTTGTGGTTCCCCCAAACATTTCGACTCGCGTGGAAGAACGGGAAATGTTACGGAAGTTCATTGAATTCGTAGTGGCAGCAGATTCATGAGTCTCGAACAAGTTTGATCGTATATACACTCTGGAATCAATCGGGTTTATTGATAATTAGGGTTTCTCTCTCACATTTCCCTTATCATGTCTGAGGAATTGTCATATAGAGCTGGCATTATTCAATATGGTATCGTTCCACATTTTCATGCCAAGCCATGAACCATATGATTACTCACCAGAATCTTGATGATGGTCTTCTGGTTCATTCATGTCTCATTGATACCATCGACGAGCTCAATCATGGGTCCAATCTGTTCTGTTTGCGTTTCTCAATATCTAAACACCGGTCTGGTTTCATAACTTTTTGAGTTTGATGGTGAATTTCCCCTTTTATGATATCCCATCGAAGCAAAGCAAATAATCAAACTATGTTATATAACACATCGGTGAAACGGTGACACACGGATTCATATTATGAATCACTCTATAGATAGGCAGATACGAAATTAAATAGACACGAACAGGATCAAAGAGGTTTTTTTTTTTAATAGGAGTAGATCATTACATCAAGACGTTTCGAACTGTAGTCACTCCAGTCTATCGGCAATCAGAAACTCATACAGCGGGGATGGAAAAGATGTAAAAACAGACATTCCTAATGGAAGAGTGTGGCATGTAGATACCAGAATATCTACGCACGGGTTAGCTTCCCGATTGATATCTCCCATTGTTTAGCTAATAGGGTACGAATTGCTTTGAGGAGAGTCTCATCCACCGTGTGAATATCCTTTTGATTATTGATTGCGTCCACCAAAGCTCGATTATCAATTTCTACCAGAACTTTTCGAAACCCCTTTTGACATGATAGCCGCAAGTCCGATCAGAACCCCCATGCCTCAGCTCTAAAGACTGAGTATATTCCAAGGCATCCACACGCAGCAGAGGTCGAGTTTCCTCTCACACTACCATCCGAATTCAGTTTCAAAACATCCCGAGGAGGGGATATCCAAGATATGTCCTTCGCGATTCTGGGCCTTTTTGAGTTAGGCATTAGATTGTTGAACATGTTGATTTGCTCAAAGTAGCCAAGAATCATACTATAGACTTGAGGCGGAAACTTTCTATTACAAAAAATGGTCTCGTTTCTCCAACGCCACAAAAACCAACAAGAGACGCCAAAAATAATCGACCAAGACGTAGAATTCACACTTGTGTAGAGACGATGATTTTTCTCGAGCCAATTCACTAAGTCGGAACTGAACACTTTAGATTGGGTCATATCCCCGCAAAGTTCCCTCCAGACTTGTTGTTAGCAAACCACTAAAGTAACACCTAAGGAGTGAGCTGACAGGACGTTTCTTTTATGTTTTATATTATGTATTATTTTTCCACTTCGTATTCTGTTCCTTTGTAGTAGGAGTACTTGGTTAGTTTATTTCTTTGTTATTAGGAGAAGTTATTTCTCTTACGTTTGTGTACTTTTAAATGCTAAGAAATGAATGGAAAAAGGAGAGCTTGAAAATCCAATTAAGTCTTTTAACCCTTTAGTCTCGAGAGCTTATTAGGTTTCCTCTTTTTGAGCCTGAATTACTGGAATCATAGTTCGTAAAAAAAAATCTCAGCCAAATCATCCAAACACCCATCGATTTCTTATCCCCCAGACCCATAACGAGATCCATAACCTAGGATCGTGATACTTGTCTAGCTGAAACACAATCTCTGAGCACATGTAATACAGTTTCTTCTTATAGGCACCCACGAGGACATTAGCTATAGAATCATAGGTTTCTTTTGCATCTCTCATAATTAGTCATCAGTTTGTTATTGAAAGCTAACCATAAAAGAGCGCGTATTCTCTTTAGACCGTTTTATGTCCAAACTGTGGACTAATATGAGGCAGAGGTATAGGCAGCAGAAGAAGGGAGTAAGGAACCATAAGCACTCTTGACTATACATTGACCATCCTTTGATTGCACACCAATACAACTGGTCTGGTTCGGAAGCTCGACTCAGAGGCAGAAGACTAGTTATTCTGGAGCATGTGGAGATGGGTAAGAGAGAAGCAAATTTGTTCCAGTTCCACGAACTATCAGGGCACACAAAGTCCATCACTGGTGCAGATAAAATTTTTTGATGGTCTAACTCCCTAATATATTCGATCAGAGGTTTATCACTCTCAACTCAGTTGTCCTTCCAAAAATTCGTATGACGTCGTCTTCCAAAAGGGTAGCACAACCCACTCGAGTTTTCTATCAAGCTGACTTGATTCCCTTCCAGATTATTAACCGTCCTTTTAATTGCCAAGACTAGAAAGATTAAATAGTATTTTCTTGTACTCTTTCTTATTTTTAATTTCCAAAACTAGAAAGAGCAAATATTATTAACGTCCCGGCTTGGAACTTCGTGACGTTTTTCTGTAGTAAAAACTACAAGTTGTTTCCATGTTCAAAAGGAAAACGTCAGGCTGTTCATCCTCGCCACCCACCAAATGGCTCCACGCCACAGCCCAAACCCAGGCCGCCCAGCCCACGCTATTGGTGACCTGTTTAATCCAATAATTTTAATTTGATATATACATAAATAATAATTTTACGTGCCGAGAGTATCCTTGGCGCTTTTAATTTTTTTCCTTTGTAACATTTTTTAAAAATAATCTGTAATTATCTTCGGAATGTATTCTAACACGTGCATAATTTGGAATTTTGGAAGGATGTTTATAGCATTTCATTTGTAATCTCCAACATTTCTGATTTCCTTTCGTTTATATATGATCCGTACCAAATGCTTACAATTTCGCCAAACGCACACACACAAAAAAAAAGAGGTACAGCATAAATCGTCAGGGCCCATTTGAAAATTGTCCAAGAAATTGATTGATTATTGTTTGGTTAGTCAAAAAGGTTAATCATTCCACTATTAAAATATTTGAATTTTGTTATTAAACTATTCGCAATTTCAAATAATTATGATCGTCCTCCATGTCTCTTCTCTTATCATGTTCAGACGGTTGTGCCAACCATCACATGTCGTGATGAATTGGGATAAATATGTTTATTCAATTTTATATTAAAAAAAAACTATATTAAATTTTTGAAAATGATTTCCGTCGCCATTCCAATTCTTCTCCCTGCGATTTTATCCAAATTTGTATTAAAATTTTGTTTTTTAGAAAACTTTTGTTCTCTGTATTGTTTTTAATATAGATTTCATACTGATTTTAATTTAATTGATTTATTTTTTGAAAATTATTACCTGATATTCAATTTTAAAAATGTGATATATTATCCAATACGGTCGGGATTTTATATCAGAATCCAAATGGTAACACCTAATGATGAATCATGATAGTTCACTTTGCTTTTGGACCCGCATTGCCCCGCAATATTATATACCTTATCTATATAATAACGTGAAAAACATTTGCAAAAAGATATGAGAAGATGAACAAGTTTAACTAACAAATGGAATGTTTTTCTTATATTTTATATTTATCCCCAATATCAAATATAATATAATCTAAATAATGCACGCTAATAAAACCCTAAAATAAAAAGGGTAGAACGGTTAAAGCTCGTCAACTAGTATTTTTTTTGATAATCTGGTGGTCCTAAACCCAAAGGTCCAGACTAATCCCGACTCACGTGCACGACCCTGCAACACACACGTGGAATGTGAAACACCCGAAGATGATAGGAGGGGAATCTCCATACTCTGGGTGTTGAACACACGACCTCGTTTACAGGAAGAGGCTCTCAAACCAATAGAGTTGGGGGATTACGCCTCGTGAACTAAATTTGTTTTGTTTCCTTGGATTTATTTTAAAAATATATGCGTTTAGAACGTAATTATATGACAATGGCATGTGGAAACAAAGAAATGAGTTGTCTTCAATAGAGTTATGCTTGACAACTTCCATACATACATACATACATACATACATACATACATACATACATACATACATACATACATACATACATACATACATACTAATAATTTACCAAATTCCACGACCATTTATTCTTATATGATTTCGTCCTCAAATTGCGTCGAGACATGGTGACCACTTTCGCCCCTGCGACTATATGTTGTATAGTTGTATTTGTGCTGTCTTCCAAACCACCCAAATTTCTCAACTGAAATTTTATTTTTATTTTTTTTATTTGTAACGAATTATTTAAATGAAAAAAAAAAACGAGACAGGGACTTATGACATGTCTGATTTTTCTTTGTCTTCTACTTGTATCCTTTTCTTTCTTTTTTACATTTTTTCACCGACATGCAGGAACGTTTTTCTTCCAACGTATACACACATATATATATATATATATAAGTGGAATATAACCGTTGCGATCAAATAATTGTGTCCATATGGGTCCCAATGCTAAATTAATTTAGTTTTTGCAAAACTAGATACAAAGTAACATTTTAAGGACTAATCGCATATTGGTAATTTCCTTGGCTGTAAATTAGTTTTAAATAATTGAAAAAAAAGCTTTAGGAATTAAATTTTAAATATTTTAATAACTAGATTTTCGACACAAAGTATTATATTTGTAAAATCCAAACGAGAATCTAAATTCAATTTGATTGTATCATCTCTCTCTAAAGTCTATAGAGATAAGGATTAAAGCAGTTACTTTGTCTTCGCTGCAAAAAAAAAAAATGGTAGAAAATCGTAGACAGCCTAATTTAGATTAATTCAGATTTGGATTTAAAATTTGTTATATCTTGACTCGCCTACTTCCATATATATATACATCATCTATATATACACATACACGTATATAGACAGGGCCCTATATATACTTACACAAAGGCGTATACACATAGACGATCCTTCTTCTTCTTCTTCTTCTTCTCTCTTCATCATATCGTCATCGTCTCGAAAAAAATGGCGAGAGCCTTCTCTCTGTCTCTGGCGCTGGCTTTCCTCTTCGCCGGAATAGTATCGGCGCGTGACTGGAACATCCTCAACCAGCTGAGGCTGAGGGCCCAAAACGACGCCGTGGAGACAGCCGGCGGCGAAAACGGCGGCTTATCGGCGTCGAGCCTGAAGGGGTACTGCGAGAGCTGGAGGATCAACGTGGAGATGCACAACATAAGGGACTTCGTGGTGGTCCCGCAGGAGTGCGTGGCGCACGTCAAGAGGTACATGACGTCATCTCAGTACGAGGATGACGTGGAGAGAGCGGTGGACGAGGTCGCCCTCTATCTCGCGAGCTCATGCTGCAGCAAGAAACAGTGCGACGGCATGGACGCATGGGTCTTCGACGTCGACGACACTCTCCTCTCCACCATCCCTTACCACAAGTCAAACGGCTTCTTCGGGTACATACACATACACACACACTGATCATACACGTATACACACATATATATGTATAATAATGGCGGATCGATCTGACATTAACGGTGGATATGAATGGATCAGAGGGGAGGTGCTGAACGCGACGAAGTTCGAGGAGTGGATGGGGAAGAGCAAAGCGCCGGCAGTGCCGCACATGAAGAGGCTGTACCATGAGATCAGGAAGAGGGGAATCAAGATTTTCTTGGTCTCTTCCAGGAAAGAGTATCTCAGATCCGCCACCGTCGACAATCTCATACAGCAAGGTTACTACGGCTGGTCCAACCTCCTCCTCAGGTACATACATACATATATATACACACACACACACACGCACATTTACATACGACTTTTATATCAGTAAAAAAGGGATCATTTTGCATCATCAACCATTCTTTGATCCATTTTTCGACCAATCTAATAAAAAAAAACAAGGGGGTCGGTTCATAACTGGATGCAAACTGGTGGGTTATTGATAGACAAAAAAGATTCGAACTTTAACATCTGAGAAGCTATAATCGATCTTGTGTACCATAAATTGACAAATCTTGAGAGTGGGTCGGTTCATAACCGAATGTAAATTGATAGACAAACACAGGTCATGCCACCACATCTTTAGTCATTCTTAACCAATGTAGAAAAAGATTCCAACTTTAGCATATATGGGAAGCTTTGATCGTTCTAGTGTACCATATATAAATTGTCCGAACTTGAACTGGGTCGGTCCATAACTGAATGTAAACTGATATACAAACACTGCGATGCAATGCCACCACATAATTTTGTCATTCATCACCAATATGTGAAAAAAAGATTCCAACTTTAACATGTACGAGAAGCTTTGATCGTTCTTGTTGTACTATATATATATACCGATGAATTCGTAACAAATCCATACGAAAAATTCGCAGGGGATTAGAAGACGAGAAGAAGCAAGTGAGGCAATACAAGGCAGAGATGAGGACATGGCTGGCGAGCCAAGGCTACAGAATATGGGGAGTGATGGGTGACCAATGGAACAGCTTCGCAGGTTGTCCTTCTCCTAAGAGGACCTTCAAGCTCCCGAACTCAATCTACTACGTTGCCTAATCCCATTACAAATTCAGAACTCCACTTTACTATTACTATTACTATTATTATTATTATCCATCCCCATATGGTTGTTCTTGTTGGCGATGTAATTTCAAAGTTTAACTCTTTCTTTTTTGGATCCTCTTTGCGTGATCTGGGGCTGTCACAAAAATTGTGGGGACTTTTTTTTTTTTTTTGGTATTCGGACCTTTTCTAAATAAGAAACTCTGATTTTGCTCTCTCCGGTTACCTTTTTTGAAATTAAACCGGATTCTAATTGAACCGGAATGCAGTCATTCGAGTTCAAGTGAGTGGGTGAACTTTTGGATATTCAATGTTTAGGACCCTCAATTCAAACCGAAATCGCATGAATACCGGGATACAGAAATCGTAAACCGGTTTTACGAGTATTAGATTTCGGTCTGTATTTATCATATCCATTTCATCGATTTACGGCATAACTTCTTAATAACAACAAGCATGTTTGGGCAGCGTCTGCGTTTTTCTGCGTTACAAAACGCGTACTTGGTTCTTGCTTTGCCTGGTTTCGGGTTCTTCCCTTGAGAGAGTTGAGATTTATAGGCTATACAAAAGTTTTTCCAATCCATAAAGTTTTTTCGAAAGTTAAAGACTTTACATATCCAATAAAATCTGCTAACACATTGGGAACAAAACACCAGAAGAACATTATTACATATCCAACAAACAGGTAGAAGAGGTATATTACATACACCCATGAAGACAACATAAACACGACCAGAACAAAAAAAAAAGAACAATAGAATCTCACAAGGGCAATGTAATAAACGAATGATTCTTTGCACAGAGGTATATTAGCGTCCTCCGCTGTTCAGAGCTCTCTCCAGTCTTGCCTCGAATGGTGTCGAATCCCAATTCACTCTCTTATCCTGCATTGAAATGAAACATTAAGCCCTTCAATTGATATTATCGACGAGAAACAAATCATAGTCACAGTTAAGTATTTTGTTTTTCTGGAGTGGTTTTTATCCATACTTCTCTGTACTTGCTGTTCGTGTTTGGTATTCCCTTGTATGAAGAAGTTGCGGAGCTGCGATCCTCTATGATCCTCCCTGAGTGATTCCAGTAACCTCCTACTGATCCGATAATAGGCATCTCATCAGGGCTTCTGCTCGGTGATTTTCTCGGTGAAGAAGTAGCTGAGAACTGTTTGATTTCTTCTACTGTCAATGCCCCCAATATAGGCCTGTCATCGTGGTTTTTGATCGGTGTAGAGTTGCAGGGGGTGTTGTTGTTTCTCTCAGGCTTTGTGGCTTCAAGCCCCGTGGAAACGCCATTGCTGGCACTGGTGGTCTCTGATTCAGATAACCAAGTTGAAAGACTAGCATCGACCTCCAATTCTCGGTTCTTTGTTTTCTTGGGTTCATCTCTTGGTCTTGGCTTGAAGCTGAGTGACGATGATTTGTCAAGCTTGGGCATGGTTTTGGTGACGGAAGCCCAGTTGTCTTCTCGATATGAGACGAGGTTAAGGTTCTCCTTTTGAGGCTGTGCCGGTATTGTTCTCACTTTAGATTTCACACTTTTCCACTGAGTGAAATTGTCAACTGGGTTCAATACCGGGTGGATATAGCTACTTCTGTCTCTAGCACTTGCATTAGACCCTCTTGGCTTCGCCTCCTCTATGTCCAAACCGTTATCTGCAATCTCCTCTGTATAAACTTCTTTGTAGCTCGGTAACTTATTCTGGTAATAGCCATCATCATCATCGTCATCATCGCTATAATAGTCTTCATCAAGCAACCAATCATCGTCTAGATCGCTTTCATCGCAGTCTGATCCATCCACCCTTTCGTCATCACTTTCTCTGCAATTCTGGTACCTGTGATTTGGAGGGAAGGACCCCGACGAGTTTGACGTGACTGAGCTGCTCTCAGATGAAGATTCAGTACGGCTCGGCTTCACCGGTTTCTCTTCTGCACTTCTCTCTTCTCTCACCTCTTTTGGAAGTTCAGCAGATTCTTCCTGTAAAACATGTTCATAGGTTCTTACATTGGAGTCAAAAGTAACTCTCTTCCGAATAGGGCTCCGATTGAATTTCTCGGCAACTTTTTCACTGCACTAACGAGAAGTGGTATATCAGTCAGCTAAAACAAAACTTGAGACATGGTTCCAGGGACAAGTACAAAGTCTATGATTTTCTGAAAGGGACAAACCCACCACCCACCTGATATCAGTGATCGGAATTACATGCTCTCTAGGGACTTCCTCGACTGTAGGGACCTTCACATTCAGATGATCATCATTCTTAGATCCCTCAGAGATTCTCTGTACATAGCAAGATTACTTCATGTCAAGCTAAACTGGGCGAGAATTACACAAAAGCTATGCCCAACTCGAGCAACACAACATCGCAAACTAAAAGACTTATAGTTCTTCAAGTAATCACAAAGATTTTTCAATTCAAATCCTCTCCCAAATCGGAATCAAAACAATCCACCAGAACAAAGAGTGAAACACACAAGATTCAGTATTTTTTTCTCGGGAAACAGAGAAAACTTACGTTTCCTCGAGGATGGAGATATTCTCGGCGTCTCCGACGCCGGCGACTCTTCGAATCACCGAAGCAACCAAGAAAGCAACCCATTCTCTCAAAATTCAAGCCCCACCCAGAGAATCAGAGAAAACTCTTCGTGGGTTTTTCAGATTATCGATCGAACATTAAAGGGTCGTCATGAATTGAGGAACGGGGTTGAGGTATCTGATTGGACTGGAAAATTGGAAATAAGTGGAATGGGATTTAGGGTTTTTAATTGTTTCTTTTTCTTTTTCTTTTTAATTTTGGTATTTTAAATATTAAAATTGGGGGGAAAGTAGGTGACCGTTATGGGTCTATTCAGATTCAGCCAATCAGGTTGTATTCGACCGTTGCTTGGTCGGACCCCTTTCTCTGGATGACAATCTAATTACTAAAAATGTTAAGACGACCCGACACGATCCAAATGAGATAACCATGGGCCCAATATTGACCGGCCCGTTTAAATTCCTTTTGAGAAACTATTTAATCATATCTGAAATATTTTTCGAAAAATCTTTTAGATTTTATATTTTAAGCAAAATAACGGCGGATACAAAGAGAAATAGACGACAAAAAATAGACCGGTTTCGCGAGGCAGATCGGCGACTGGGACTCCGACCTTCAAGGCTGCCACCGGGAAAGCGACGGATGGAGGGGCGTTCGGACAGACGAAGCAGTCCCAAGATTCTTGGATTTTGGGACTCCATTCCTGTGGATCCCACCACAATCGTCATGGTATCTCCTCCCTCATCGCCGGAACCTATTACTCCGGCCGAAGACGACGATTCAGGTCCAGAGTCTGTGGCCATGGATTCGAGAAACGAGCATGATTCCGCTGAATTCGCGGGAAAGGGTTTCGGGAAAGGAAAGGGTCGGACCACGCGTGTATTCGCAGATGCGACTGCCTTCGGACGGAAACGTCAAGTTTTCGGCGGGGAAACGACCCGCCGTATCAGATTAGCCGTCGTCTTCGGCGAGAATAGAGACTAGGGTTTCGGAGGATCAGCCTGCTTCCAGCGGTGAAGGTATGTCGAGGCGGGTGTTGCCGCCGTCTATGGCTCTGTCCGAGCAGTGGGGTGCTGGGAAATGGAAAGAGGACTGGAGGACAAAGAGGAAGAAAGTCGATGAGACAACTGATTCGATGTTTCTCAAAGAAGTCATTGAAGTTCTGATTCGAAACTCTGGTGAGGCTGGGGAAGAAGAAAACGACATGGAAAACTTTAGCTATGTGGAATTGTTGAAATCTTTGGGCATAAGGTTTCCTGAGTAAGTGTGAAAATTCCTGTGGGAAGATATAAGATGTTGATTACCTGATGAATGAGGTGAATATTATTTGACTGGACAAATTCGATCTCGTATGTTTGTTTAACAAATGAGAAGAGCAATCTAACATCTACTGAAATATGCTTTTATCTTGTTCTTTGATCAGCTGCTGATCAAAGGCTGCGACTTGTAAGCAGCAATGGACTCTGCATCATTGGCTCGTTGCCAGATGATGGAGACTTCTTCCCCGAGAACACACCTGAGTGGAGGATCAATGTCATTGTAGTAAACCACATGTGCTGTTGAGGAAAACGTTTGCTGGTCATTGTCACAGTTTTCCGTGTCCGGTTTTTAAGATTTCACCTCCCACACCTTTGGCCAGATTCTGAGTTCTGAAGGGTCTTCCTCGTTAGTTTGGTTCCTGCAGGAGAATGATTACCATTTTTCGGACATCTGTACAAGAGATGCAATTCTGCAATTGTTTGTTACATCACTGTTAGAATTCACATCAAGGTTCAGGATTTTCCGATAAACAAATTGCTGAAGGGCTTTAATAGTGGATTAGAGACGTGTGGTTGTAGATATACATGGAAGTATTTATGTGGAATCTATATTTTGCATTAAGAAATCTCAATGTGTCAATATAGTTTGATTGTTGTGAGATAACATCCTACGAAGCACGAACGCGCGAAGGCTAACTGCTAAAGGGTCAAGTGCATAACATTCTAGGAATACTCTGAAAGCATTCAAGGAAAGACGACTGCAGTTTGGGAACTCGATAATGGTCTATCTGTGGACAAAACTGTGATTGATACACTGTAAACCTATCAATTGATTGCCCAGGTAGTTAGTTTCTTTGTTTTTTTTCTGCTATTATCTTTATACATCAAATCACAGGAACGTTGTTAGACGAGCAGTTCCGATGATACGGGAATTACGGCTTCAGATGTGGCATGACATTCAACCCGTTGCAATGACAAAGTTTGTCACCAAAGGTAAAAGCTTTTGTTGATACCATTGCATTGGCCTCAAACGCATTTCTCATTTCACTGATTTCAGTTGTCTGACACATAAATAGTCGTGTTACAACCAATACAGACTGCTACTGGGATTACAAGCAACCAGTCACTTGATTCATAAAATTAATGCAGATATGGTTATGATGATGGGTGGAAACGAAGAATTCATACGGCCTACCCAAAATAAACTTGGGATTGAATCGATGTTGATGTTGACGGTTTCAGTGATGTTCACTTTGTAGATAGAGGAACCCTTGTGCTTGGTGTGCTGCAGTAGTAAGGTACAGGTTCAAATGGTGGCTTGTCACTCAGGTCAGTACTCAGTCGGTATTCTGTTTCCTTACAGAACATCGACTAATAATATCAATCGGCCATGTTGTTTTCGAAACTTCTGTCTTTGTTTCTGCAGGACCATACATCAAATGGTTGTCTCTCTCATTGATTTGCAAGAGATTTGTTCTTGCCTTTCCTCTAGAACTCATCCTTCATTCCTGCAGGAAACTGCACATAGGAATGCTTCCACAAGCAAAGCTGAAAAGTGAGAGACACTAATGGTCGGTTCATATGATTATAGGATAATATAATAAAACAAATATGTAAACTTTATTACAAGTTTATGGTTATATCAAGATGGTGGGCTGTGGGCTGTCCACATATTTGTGATAAAACGATATGGTTACAGTATTTAACGTCTGATTTTTTATGATGTAAGTTTGCATATTGAAGTGTTATTTTGGTACATTTTGCAAAGAACTTGGGGGGGGGGGGAACTCATGCAATTTTCGTGCTTATTCATTTTTTATTGTTTATTTTTCCCGAGTTTTGGCATTATTCATTAAATAGGATGAAATTAAATTGAGATGGGAAACTGATACCAAACTATGAAAGCAATAAATTTTTTTTTCCCGCACCTTGATATCATCGGAGGATTTGTTATTTTTGTTTGTTAAATTAGTCGGTCCATTTATTTGTTTATGCCGATTAATTTGATTACTATGAATATTTGGTCATCATTATACACTTATGTAAAATATTGTATATTTGACTATAATCTTCAAGTTCCTCCACCCCCTAACAAATCATGAAATTGTTTTTTTGTACCCATTGGTAAATTCAAATGAATTAACTAAAACAACTTTTGGAGATGTACATTACAAATGCATGGTTCCTAATTTTCCTTTCATTTTTTATTCATTTTCTAAATTTGATTACCACAATAATGTTACAAATAGAATAATAGTCTGCTCCATATTTCATATTATTGATTTGAAATTACGTGCAGATATATAATCGGAATAACTAAATGGTATTTAATTGCATTCAGATTTTGTTTTATAAAAAAAATTGGATTGAAGATTAGAACTTTCTCATTAAATATTTGAGATATTCAAATTCATTCTGAATTTTTAAAAAAGAAATAAATGTTATGCCAAATCACCAATGTTCTATTATTTATTCCCAAAGTTTTAGTTTTTCAAATGTATATATGGAATCCAAGCCGTATATATAAATTTCCATTATAAGTATTTTTTTTCTTTTTTTTTTCCAAAAAAACAAAATAGATTTGTAGGGAATTTCTTAGATTATAATGTAGGATGTCGATTTTTTTTTTTAAATAATTCTAATAAGTTAGAAAGCATAGACTAAAAAAAATAAAATAAAATTCTCTTAATCATTTATAGGAGATTAGGGAGAGGCTGAAGACTAAATAGAAGGGAATCCTTCCCTTTTCTCCCCATGTACTTAAATGCTCTGCATTACTTGTCTTTAATGGTAACCCAAAGTTTGAAGATATGGCAGTGAGAGAGAGAGCAGGGCAATATCGTAAATTTCTTGTGAATGGCATTGTGTGTAATTTCCTAGACTAACAAGGGTAATTAATGTTCCCCGCCTCTATAAATTGTCATAACCCTGCATTATCCTTTGTTCGTTCTTTTTCTCTCTCTCCCTCTCCCTCTCTCTCTCTCTCTCTCTCTCTCTCTCTCTCTCTCCCTCTCCCTCTCCCTCTCCCTCTCTCTCTCTCTTGAATTTTAATTTACCATCTCTTCTAAGAAAAAAAAAGGCTAGCGGCCCTTTTCACACGAGATTTCTCAAAATTTACTGTTTGTGACGCAGTAATTATTTCAATTTTACTGGGTGCTGACGTGGCATGCACCCAATAGGCAGGCGCCATGAATACCAAAACGATGCGTCTTCCTCCACGTCGCGTTCTGATGCCGGCTAAGCGTAAGGAGCGTGACGGCGTTATCCCCGTCACCGGAAAACCGACGGAAATTTCCGTTATGAAGCCGCCGCCGCCAATTATCCCTCCGGTTCAGTCCGTCTCCAGGAAATCCCCGGCACCGTAACGGCCACCACCGAGCCGGCCGGTTCGAACCAGCTCCTGGCCGGTTACTTGGCCCACGAGTTCCTCACAAACGGGACACTGTTTGGGGAGCAGTGGAACCCGTTCCGACCCCAAACCGGATCGGTATCGGTCCAACCGGTTGAGCCGATGAAGTCCAAGCCGATCAATGATACCGAGCCGACTGAGCGGAAGCGGAGGAGGTACGTGGAGGTGGCCAATCTCATCCGGGCAGATGGGACCCACGTGCCCGGAGTCGTTAACCCTGCCCAGCTTGCCCGATTTCTCAAACTATGAATGCCAATCCGGTGTTCACGTGGATCTACGTCATTGGTCTGTCACCCGGTAAACTACACAGCCCTAACACCGAAACCTTCCTTCTTTATTTGGTTTTGCCTCCCTTTTTTTCTGGTTGAATTTTTTTCCTCTGTAAAGCGCTCTCTCTCCTCTATCTCTCTCTCTTCTCCCCTTTTTCCGGTCCCAGTCATCTTTGAAATTGACTCGGAAGCGTTAGGGTTTATTCTTGGTAGGTTTCGTATTTTGTACATCAGATTGCGATATCGATTAGGGAGTCGATTGTATTTTCAATCGGAAACCCGAATCTGCGTTGGTTTAACTTTTTGTGAATGTTCGTGGATCCAATTTTGGAGCCGTTTAATCGACCTGTTCCCTTCAGATCACTCTTAATCCGATCATGTAACGATCACTATGTGATTGTTCCCGAACATAAGATCCAATCAATGAGTTTGTTTTCATGGAATCTATGATTCAAGCGTTGACTGCAATTTGAAAGGATTGATGATATTCCGTTCAATCCGAGCAACAGTCAAAAGGAGAAGACTTTTGTCTGGAGGCAGAGCTGATTTTCGACTGTTACGGAAACATTTGGTAGTAACGCCAACGTGGTTGGTAGGGTGTGGCTCTTTCAAGAAATTCCGTGCATTCTGATGGGTTCGCAAGAAGGTTTCGTCTTCTGTTCCGGGTTTGTGAAAGTTAGCGATTTCTCGTCTGATGGTTTCGTCTTCTGTGTTCTAATCGGATTGTTCTTTCTTTCGAGAATACCGACTCGGAATCTGTGCCAGGTATATCTTTATATGGTTTAAGTTAAACTGATTTCTGCCCGGCTTCACACAACACAGATGCTAAGCAATCTGTTCATATCTATATGGGAACCCAACCACAATTTTCCGACTGCGTTGATAAACCTTCGGTCCACGCTCTCCAAATCATGTAAAATAGGTAAATGTAAAACAGGTAAATCAGTCGAAAGTCGAAACCAGGTTCAGAAAAAACTCGTAGTAACTAGTAAGAAGGGGGAAATCCGTAGAGGAGTTGGTAAGGTAGTTTGTCTTATACCGTAAGATTGTGGGTTCAACTCCTTACGAACGCATCTATCGTCCGTCGGTTATAGCTAATTCACATTCTCATCGTGTGTCGCGGGCGCGTGCGGTGGACGGAAGTTTATCTAGCCAGCTCGCTCAAAGGTTAACAGCTAAGGTTCCCACGTCTCATTGTAAAAACGAAAACTCCCTGACCAACTGAATTAGGACTTCTCCATTCATATTTTCTTTTATTATACCGATATTCTTTTTTATCACGTGAATATGTTTTTTTTTTGGTCTAAGAAACTCGAAAGAATTTTCATTAATACAGTTCACATTTCACAAAAAAAGAAAATCCTTGCTATTCTTTTGTAGTCTCTCTTGTAAGTTGTATGATTCTGATATATATATTAATTGATTCATCACAAATGATGAAAATATAATTACGGCCGCAAAAGACCCTTGCATATAAGCCCAAGGTTTGACCGGACCGGGCCGGATCCATTCCTAGTTCCAACTGTGGCGCCAACGTTGACCAGAGACTTAATGATGACCTCACGGCGTCAATTCCACTCCCATGGTGCTGAACCAAAGATTTC